TGCTTGGTAGCCCCGAAGTCTACCACCCACTCATTCACATCATTCGCTTTACAACTTTGAGAAACAACCGCAATAAAATTATCATCACTACTAACCAAGTTTAAACTTGATTTTAGTGGGTTGTTGTTTTTCATAGTTGTCATTTTACCACTAAATAAAGGAATAATATTTTTCTCAAAAATTGGTGTTAAAGTATGGCTTATTGTAAGGAGGAAAGTAAAGAGAGTAAGCATTATACGTGGAGATATATCCAAATACCAGTCTAAATCACACCACACATGCAAGAATAACATGGCCGTGTTGAGTGCAGCGACAACGCTTTGTGAGATCACACGTGCAGACATATCCGACGCCAAATACTTTCTTGAGATTGTTGGTGGAAATTCGGCCGGATATACCTGCAAAAATAACGTTAGAAAATAATCTAGCTCGAGACGCGTCAGACGCTGTCCTCAAGAAAGTATTTCCAACTAGCGAAAACCTTTCCCCAAGATATAACGAGTTCTTCGGCGTAAACCGGTAACAGAACAACAAGAGTAGAAAATTATTAATCCAGCAGAGTGAAAATATTAAGAGATGTTTATCTCCAAAATAATATATCTCAAATGGCTCGTCAAACACACACGCTCTCTATAGCTCCATGCAAACATACATGTATTTATACACGTAAATGCCCAGTAAAGAAATTGAACGTTGGAGCTTGAAAGGTCATCAATATAATTATACTTTAATACTACCTCCGGTTTTTTTAATCTTCACAGTTTGACTTCACACAAAATAAGGAAAGAAATTTGACTTTACTGTAGAGTATACTGTTGAGGCACTGTTTGACACTGTTTGGCACTGTAGAGACACTGTTTGGCACTGTTGAGACACTGTTTGACACTGTTTTGATGTAGATTTCTTTGCCAAAAAAGGAAATAAGGAAGTGTGAAGTTTATTTTAGACTGTCCCAAAAAAAAAAGTGTGAAGTTTATTAAAAACCGGAGGGAGTAATAATCATGATAGCCAACGGTAAAAGAACCGTTATGATAGCAAGCAAGTGTCTTTTAGATTTAATACACACACTATTGAAAAGTAACGTACAAAACTTTGTTTGCAAAATTTTGTTTAATTAAAAATGATAATGAAAAGAATTGATGTACGTTTAAAACTAAAGTGAAGAAATTAATTGAAACAAGTTAATTTAATTATATTCATTTGAAATACTCAGAATATTTCCAACACCTTATGTGTTAGTTGGAGAGTATTCCAAGCAATTAAATTTATTGAATCGAGTGGGTTAAAAACTATGTATCTTATCCTTATATTCTAGGCCGTTGTAAAAGTTGAGTATCAGTTGATAGGGTATAAACATTAAATAAATATTCGTCTGATTTCCTCTATATTCTCTAACGGCCAATGACTTTTTTTTTTCATTTTTATCGAATCCTGCTCAATTTCAAGCACATTAGAAACTAGTTTCTTCTGAACGGGTGAAATATTTGTAGTTTCAATCAAGTAATATGTTTGTTTTATGTACTTGTAGCATGCTTATTGTAAAAAATGCAATATTATACGTTGTATCTACCTTTTTAAAAGTAGATTGGGTAGGCATGCCTGAAGGAATGTGTATTATTCCATGTCTCGAATCATTACAAAGTATCCCTATATATACAAGAGTGCTGGTGCTAGTAATGGAAACTACATAAATACAAGAGATATTATGGGGATATTTACACGAGGGATTATAGGGATATAAACTAAACATGGTAACAATATATATGCTATTACTCCCCCGTAGTTGAAGCGGGAGAAGGCCGAATGCTGAGACTATCTCGAAAATGAAGAAAAGTGGAGCGTGGTAAACCCTTAGTGAAAATGTCAGCATATTGACAGTAAGCAAGGATGTGTAGGACTCGAATATCTCCAATACGGACACGTTCACGCACAAAGTGAATGTCGATCTCAATATGTTTGGTGCGTTGATGTTGGATGGGATTACCAGAGAGGTAAACAGCACTGACATTATCACAATAGACTACGGTGGCTTGGCGCAGGGGAAGATGAAGTTAAAGGAGTAAGTTGCGTAACCAACATGATTCAGCAACAACATTGGCAACTCCACGATATTCAGCCTCAGCACTAGACCGGGAAACAATAGGTTGTCGTTTAGAAGACCAAGAGATTAGATTGTCCCCAAGAAACACACAAAAACCAGATGTAGAGCGACGAGAGTCAGGGCATCCAGCCCAATCAGCATCAGAATAGGCAGTAAGACCAGTGATAGGTGATGCAGAGATGAATAAGCCATGATCAAGTGTACCCTGAAGATAGCGTAGAATACACTTTAGAGCTTGAAAGTGAGGTTCACGAGGATCATGCATAAAAAGGCAGACTTGCTGAACTGCATAAGAGATGTCCGGGCGAGTGAATGTAAGATATTGTAGTGCACCTGCTAAGCTTCGATATAAAGCTGGATCAGCAACAGGGGACCCTGTGAGAGCACTGAGCTTAGAAGATGTATCAACAGGTGTGGCCACGGGGTTACATTTGGTCATGGTAGCACGAGCCAGAATTTCTTGAGCATACAGTGATTGAGACAAAAATAAGCCTGAGGAGGATTTAGTCACAGTGAGTCCCAAGAAGTGGTGTAGTTCTCCTAGATTAGTCATGGAGAATTCTTGGTGCATGAGGACAATAAAGCGATGGAGTAACGCATCAGAAGAAGCCGTGAGAAGAATATCATCCACATATAACAATAGATATGCCATGTCAGACCCAGAGTGATAGACAAACAAAGAAGTGTCACACGTACTTCCTTGGAACCCACAACTAGTAATGAATGTAGCAAAACGCTGAAATCATGCCCTTGGAGCTTGTTTGAGACCATAAAGAGATTTGCGCAGGCGGCATACATAATTTGGTTTCGTGGGATCAACAAAACCAGGGGGTTGATGCATATAAACTGTCTCAGATAGGTCACCATGGAGAAAGGCATTTTTGACATCCAGTTGATGAATAGGCCAAGAACGTGATGTAGCAATGGTAAGAACAGTGCGAATGGTGGCAGGTTTGACTACAGGGCTGAATGTGTCAAAGCAATCAATACCAACCTGCTGAGATTTGCCGTTAGCAACCAAACGGGCCTTGTACCGCTGAAGAGACCCATCAGAGTGAAATTTGTGCCGAAAGAGCCATATGGAACGGATAACATGAGCACCAGGGGGCCGCGGAACAAGATCCCAAGTCTGAGTTTTTAATAAGGCATTGTACTCATCTTGCATGGCAGCATTCCAGTTAGGGTCTTTAAGGGCATAAAGGTGAGAACGAGGGAGAGGTGAAATGGTTTGGACATTGAGATCAAGACAGGTTTGGGTTTAAAGATCCCATGAGAAGCACGGGTGACCATAAGATGGGTGGGTCGGGTAGGAGGTTGTGGAGGGGGAGGGTCGCTTGGAGGGGTTGGTGGTGTGGGAGGATTGGGTGGACTGTGTGGGGAGGTAGATGAGGGTGATGTTGGGGTGTTGTGAGATGGGGGTGCAGTGGGATAGGCGAGGCTATCTAAGGGAAGTGTGGTGGAGGATAAAAATCATAAGAGGTGGGGGTTGGTGGTGATGGATCTGTAAAAGGAAACACAGATTCATCAAAGGTAATATGGCGAGAGATAATGATTTTTCCAGTAGCTAACTCCAGACATCGATATCCACGATGATTGAGGGGGAAGCCAAGAAAGACACAACGAGTTGACCGGGGAGCCATTTTGTGGGGTGTAGTGGCGGTGAGGTTAGGATAACATAGACAACCAAAGGTACGAAGGTGATTATATGTGGGTTGACGATGGTACAAAGCCGGTCACAGTAGTCATCAACACCATTAAAGTCTGTGAACTTGAGATTGACAAATTGCCGCTCCAGAATCGTAGCGCGGGTCCCTTTGTTATCCTGAAACAGTGTGCTAAGGCGTTCCCACAAAGCTTGAGCCGTGCTGCCAGATTTCAGAACCGTGAGCATTAAGTCCTTCGTCATGGTGGAAAACATCCATTGACGGACTAAAGCATCGAGTTGTTTCTGAAGAGGTGCATTGATGCCGGCAGGGGCAGGAGTTCCTTTGATTAGAAACATCAAATTATGAGCCTCAAGATGTAGTTGAAACAGAAAAACCCAAAAAGAATACTCATCGCCTTTAAGATCGAGAGTAATTGGAATGAGGGATTTGATGTTGTTGAGGGTGAGGGCAGGATGTATGGGTTGTTTAGGAGTGGTGTCGCCAGCCATGGCAGACAGCCCAGGAAAAGGAACGGGTATATTACTAAGAAAAGCATGATACCATGAAGGAATGTGTATTATTCCATGTCTCGAATCATTACAAAGTATCCCTATATATACAAGAGTGCTGGTGCTAGTAATGGAAAATACATAAATACAAGAGATATTATGGGGATATTTACACGAGGGATTATAGGGATATAAACTAAACATGGTAACAATATATATGCTATTAATGCCCACTAAAATTGACAAAATTTAATAAAATAATCAATACGGAGTATATTATTTTCAATTACATAATTCATACTCCCTCCGTTCTTTTTTATTAGTTCTTCTTACCTTTTTGAGACGTTTTTTTTATTTGTTTCCTTTCCCCTTTGAGGAAAGTTTTTGAGAAAATACTCTCACTTTTATTACGTTTACCCCACTTACTTTTTACAAACTACTTTCTCTTTCCTACTTTACCATCACTTTACTCTTCTTAATACACTCTCTTTCTTACTTTATCATCACTTTACTTTTTTTTAATATACCATCTTTCTTACTTTATCATTTACCCTACACACTCTATACTTACTCTACTACTTTATTATTAAATCCCGTGTCAAACCCTAAGAGGACCAATTAAAAAGAACGGAGGGACTAATAATGTAAAGAAATTCACCATCCTAATTTTCAATTTCACAAATAATATCGACACAAATTATTCACCTATTCGAAATGTTTTAGAAAACAAGAATAGGAACTTTTTGCTAGTCATCAATGGCCTTTCAAAGGCAAGGCAACCTATTCGCGCTAAAGACCAGTTCTCTAACGGCCAATCCGTTACGCGCTCTATCCCGCTCCCGCGCTCTCTATTCCTCCTCTCTATCCATCTCGATTTATCATTCTTCCTTCCGTTTCATCTCTCTCGGTTTCTGAGCATTGATCGCAGCTGGTCACAGTATGGATGAAGAATACGACGTCATCGTTCTCGGAACCGGCCTCAAGGAATGCATCATCAGTGGCCTCCTCTCCGTTGACGGACTCAAGGTCTCCACCTCGATCTTCACCATTTTCCCGTTTGTTTTCCAAAATCATTCATTTTGCCTTTCATGCAATACTGATTAGGATATGGTTTCAGACTTTCAGATAAGTTGATTTATATGAATCAAATTGAAATCTGCCCTTTTCGTTTGTGATGTTTTTGTTTCAAATTTCAACCATGTGACATGTCTGTAGCCTCCTTGGTCCAATGTCCCCGTCAATTAGACTGATTCCATCTATTAAATTTTATTATGTGCAGAATTTGCATATTATCATCAAATATAATACTCTGTATGACCGTATTGTTAAGACCATATCCCATCCAAAAGGTTGACCCTTGATATCAAAAGTAGCTCAGAATCTTATACATTGATCTATTTATCTTATGTTATTATGATATATTAATGGTGGGACAAATACTTCAATAGTCACTTTGCTTTCTTTGTTATTGTATATATGAAAAATAAATGTTTCGAGCTTTCAGCATATCAACAGTACAGTGTTATTTGATAGGTACTGCACATGGATAAAAATGATTATTATGGAGGAGAGTCAACTTCCCTTAATCTAATTCAGGTAACTTCTTTAAGGATAGCTCTGTCAAGAAATGCTCACTTATCATATCAGGACCAAAGGGTGACCTCTTTCTACAAGCACGTTATTAAATATATCCTCTTTGTATAACCCTCTGAGCTTTTCCATGTGTAGCTTTGGAAGCGGTTCAGAGGAAATGACCAGGCTCCAGAGAGCTTGGGTGCAAGCAAAGAGTACAATGTTGATATGATTCCAAAAGTATGTATAGTTCTTCTACAACTTCTTTTTCCATATGATTGTGCATTTTCTGATTAAATTACTAATAGCCATTCCAATGTGATTTTGGCAGTTTATGATGGCAAACGGTGCTTTAGTCCGAGTACTCATTCATACTAATGTTACTAAATATCTGAACTTCAAAGCTGTTGAGGGTAGTTTTGTTTACAATAAAGGCAAGGTGTGTTTCCTAAAGTCAGACTTTCAACATAACTGCTGTTATGTCTCTTTTACTTCATTTGACAATATGCTCCCTCGTAATTGAACTTTTTAGATTTACAAAGTCCCTGCTACTGATGTTGAAGCACTGAAATCCTCACTGATGGGGTTGTTTGAAAAGCGTCGTGCCAGAAAGTTCTTTATTTATGTGCAAGAATTTGATGAGTCAGATCCAAAGACTCATCAGGGAATGGACCTAAACAATGTCACGGCTAGAGAGTTCATAGCGTAAGCATGTTATGATGACGTTTTCATTCTCATTTTGAAACTTACGCTGTCTTAAATCCTAACAATACTAGAGTTTAAGAAATTATTAACTATCAATTTCTCACATAAAAAACTTATCTTGTTACTTGAGTAGCCACATTGTACACCCCTTACCTTTAAAATTCCAAAAGGAGTAAATGAAATAATGCGTATCATATTTCTTGATTATTCACACATGTTACTTTCATTTCCGTTATCTTTCGCAAGAAAAGTTCAAAAGAATTAACTGAAAATTTAAGGTTTAATATAAATATATCTCAAAGAATAACATTTAACACTATGAAGTTCTTGTTTTAAATAATGCAATCCATATGCGTTTATGTAAGTAACTTGGTGACAGATTCTGAGTGACAGCCTTCATTTTGCCAGATATTCCGATGTTAATTATCGCACTTTATTCTTTACATGCTTAATACTACAGGAAATATGAGCTTGAAGACAACACAATTGATTTTATTGGACATGCCTTAGCTCTTCAGCCTGATGATACATATTTGGATCAACCAGCAATGGACTTTGTGAAGAAAGTCAAGGTGATATATCATCCAAAGATTCTAATTACTCTTCTCTAGCTACTAAAAGTTAAAAATCCTGATCACTTTCGGAGAACTTGCTTTTGTTTCAACATTTTTGGATAAAACTTTTAGCTATACGCGATGTCTCTCTAGTCTCTAGTCAACCAGGACTGTCGTTCCTTTGCTAGATTAAATGAAATGGAATTTGGTTTAACACTTTTAGTTTATGTTTTTGTTGTAAAAATGCTGGATCTGCACTTTCTTTTTGTTGAATAAAATTTGTTAAATGACCTGTTTAGTTTCTTTCTGAAGCTATATGCAGAGTCTTTAGCACGCTTCCAAGCAGGATCGCCGTATATATACCCGATGTATGGACTTGGGGAATTGCCTCAGGTTTGTTCTGCCTGCATTTGAGCACAAATGCAACTACAGTTACTTTGGTCCTTTTGATGTGCGTATTTTTTTCAGGGCTTCGCACGTCTTAGTGCAGTTTATGGTGGGACGTACATGTTAAACAAGCCCGAGTGTAAGGTAACACATAAGAATATATCTGCACTAACATTCTAAAGTTTCTATAACATAATGTACTATTTGTCAGGTGGAATTTGATGAAAGTGGCAAAGCCTATGGTGTGACCTCTGAAGGTGAAACAGCTAAATGCAAGAAGGTTGTTTGTGATCCATCATATTTAACTGACAAGGTATTCATTATATTTCGAAATTATGTGGTGTTTAGTGAAAATAGTGTTTCCATACCGATTAATCATCAGCATAAAAGCTGTTTGTGATTCATCATATTTCTTGCAATTATTGTTTTCTCCCTATATGAATCATCAAGATTAAACTTTTCTATAATTTTGTTGAGTATATCGACATCGGTTGCCTGCTAGGTTTGACTCTAGCATAAAAGTGTAAAGTAACACTCACTCTTAAGGATTATTTTATGGCGAGTTAGGCTAAGTTAAGGGATGCCTGCACACTCAATTGTTTTGGACTACCTATTTGGGTAGGTATGTACCTATTTGTCCATCCTTTTGTTGTCCAGCCCAACTTGGGATTACAATGAGGGCATTAGGGGTGCACGGAGGAGTCTCTCGTGATGTCATGTGGGTTCTGATATATATGTATCACGTAAAACTCATCTTAGTTATCCTTTTAGGGTGTGTCAGACTCAACTAACAATTTCTAGAAATTAAGTAGTCGTTTGTATTTTCAAGTGAACCAAACACAATATATTGTATTTACTCCGATGTGAATCATTAACCTAAAATTTTGTTTTAATTTACACTGGCAACCCATTTAAAGTGAATCAAACTACAGGTCCAGAAGGTTGGAAAGGTTGCTCGTGCTATCTGCATAATGAGCCATCCCATTCCCAACACAAATGACTCTCATTCTGCTCAAGTTATTTTGCCACAAAAACAACTTGGTCGAAAATCTGACATGTGAGCTTGCATTTATAGACTTCTGCAGTTGATTTTTAAGCCCTTGCTTGGTTCAAAGGACGGACGGGGGGAATGGAGTTGCTAAAAAGATACCATGTTTGGTCCAGTCAAGGAGTGATGAGGAATTTGCATTTCTGAAAAAACTTGTATTCGACACTGCATAGTTTCCTTTACATTTTAAGATATATTAATCGACATGTATACCTATAGTAATGTATAATTTTTACCAAAGAAATGTTAAAAGAAGTACAGGAAAAGAATAATCCCAGAAATCCCTGTCATTGGGTAGTGATATATGAGGAGCTTTGATGGTTTCAGTTCATCCACATTTATTCCACTCCCAATAACTTCCCCAACCAAACAAACACCGCTTCTTCACTCTCCTCCTTTCCTCTCCTCCTCCAAAGTCGTCTGACCACAAACAAGGGCCAAGTGAGATTTGATAATAGCCGCCCATGCGGTTACTGTAACTACCACAACTACAGGTACTTATTCTGCTGCTCCTATTCTCATAACGTTGCTCCCAAAGGAAAATACATTGCCTTTGTTTTGAGTGAAGCTGAAACAGACGATCCAGAAACAGAACTGAAGCCAGGCGTAGAATTACTTGGAGCTGTGGATGAGATATTTTATGAAACCTGTGACAGATACATACCTACTAATGACTCTGCAGCTGATAACTGTTTCATATCTACTGTAAGTGTTTTATAATTGTTATAGTGTTTCTAGTTTTCTACATCAGGTTCATCATCTTACATATTCATTCATTCATTGCAGAGTTATGATGCATCAACTCACTTCGAATCCACAGTACAGGATGTGCTGGACATGTATACCAGAATTACTGGAAAGGCAAGTAATTCTCCCTATAAGCTTAGCTTTAAATATGTTTTTGTTGTTTTGTTTGAGGTCAATGAAAATAGTTTTTTCGTTGTACTTCACTGTTTCTTTTTAGTCCTATAACAAAGAACTTTCATGCTTAACAGGATTTTAGTTTCGCCTTTTCATTGTCATTTTAATTTCTTCTTTAAACTTTTAAAACCATGAATCCTGAGTTTTGGTTATCCTTAACTACATTTATAGTCTGTAACATGTTATGAAAAGTTGATGTCAAAAGTTTAGAGTGCTGTTCTGCGAGTGAAATTATTATTTTTAAAATGGAGGTTGTTGGAGAGTCATGAGGGATAAAAAAGTTAATGACATAATTTGCAGGGAAGAAAAACAAAAATTAGCTTCCTCATCTTATTGTCTTTGTTTTACCCAATAGTGCAATCTTAACTATCTGAAACTAATTAAAAAAAAACTATCTGAAACTAATTAACCTTCCTTGATTAGGCGGTTGATTTATCTGTGGACCTGAGCGCTGCAAGTGCGGGTGGTGAAGATGAAGCTCAATAGATTTATTTGGAAACAAAAAGGAAGTACCATTGAACTCCAACAGAAGATTGCTAGTGTAGTAGTTAGTTCTTGCAGAGTTTGCCATTGTTTTTCTTAAGACGGCTTTTGCTTTTCTATCCACTGCGTTTTCACCACTACTAATGGATATTGTGGTAAAAAATAAAAACCAAAAGAAACTTTCCATTGTGAAAGTTGTATCCTAAAGAAGGTCATGTTTATATCATTCTGTTTCCATATACTTATACACGCTGCCCGGAACTATCCTGGAAAAATATCAATGCTAGCATTCATAAAAAAAAATAGAAATAACGACAAATATGACCGAAAAATACAAAAAATACTTGGTGTACACACTTTTTGTATGTCATTCGCACACTTTGTCAATATACGCAAACAAGTCTGGATACAGAAAATTTCTGTATTTCTAGGCGAATTATATGTACACACGTCAAACATTTTTATAACAATGACTTTTTGTACTTTGATAATCATAGTAACTTTAATGACATATATTGAATTCTACTATATATTTTCAACATCATTGTTTTAAAATTTAGGAAATTTAGCCAATTAGGCAATTGTATCTACAACTCTAACAATCTCAACGTATTAAGCCAATAAAACTTTAAGAAGATTTCTTTAAAGATATTATTAAAATGATTCTCCGTATTAATTTACAAAAATATGACTAAGTTTACTATAAGTACTAAGCATACTATTATGGTCACTCAAGCGTAAGAATTGAACATAAAGTAATATGATTAAAGTTATAACTATAACAATTCCACTTAAGATGTTAGATTTTTATAAGAAATATCAACCTACAATCTGAAAGACAGATAAGTTATCTATCTGGAACATGAAGGATAAAATGTGTCGATATAGGGTTCAAATGATTGTAAACTATCAACATATGACCTAAAATTTCATAGGTTTCGGTTTATTGATTCAATTGCTAATTTTTGATGAATTGTTCTTAACAAAAGTTTATTAGTTTAATAAATTAAATAGCAATTAAATTTTTTAAAATAAAATAAAAATTCATAACAAACTTGGTCCTAAATTGATGGTTGTCGCTAGTGAGTTCTGACTTACACCGACACATTTCATCATTCAGATTCTGAATTGATGTTTATCTATCAATAGAAAAATACAATGCACCATTTAAATGAAAAAAATCCTAATATTTTTAAATTCTAAAGAGGTCACCATACTATGGTTTTTTCTTCTATAAATATTAGCTTACTACCGAGTAGCGTTCTGAAAATTTAGTGTCATATTTTTGCATTATCCCACTTTAAATATGACAGAATATACTCATAATTTATAATGATTCTCAAGAAAAACAATAAGTGCTCAATTTGAGAAATAAAACATAATGCTTCTACGCTAAAATTTAAAAATAGTTTTCTCTATTTAAATCTATTTCCTTCATTTTAAATATTATAGACTTGGAATTCAATAATAAATAGACTTGGGATTCAATAATAAAATAGTTCCATATTAAAATCGGTTATCAAAACTGTAGGGAGCAGGACGTTTTTTTAAGTTTCTCTAGGGCATAATTCCGCCGCTAGGGTTGTTTCTCCGCATTCGTCTGATGAAGTGCGGCCGCCATTAAGGCGGGGTTCCAATTTCGTTCCTAATTGTGAGCGCAGGTGTGTTTCGAAGCTTTTTGATTCGAAGCTTCGGTCATTTTTCTATTGCAGACGCAACACAGAGCAATTACAAAGGCAAGATGATAGAGATTTTTATGCACCTCCGAAATGGATTTCAATGGCAATCTTCAAGAAGCAAATTAGCGGGAGCCAATTGGCGAGCACAAGAAGGATAGGGTTTCAGACGAATTTTTCACGGATCAAAATTCCCTTCTCCCATACTAATGCAGCTCGTCCGCCTCTGGAACCACCTTTGAGCGAAAATGCAATTTGGGGAAAGTTTCTATTTTCGTATTATTTTTATTTTAGTAGTATTTGTTTTTATTTCAGTTCGAGTAGGTAGTATTTTGAGTATTTTGATTTTTGATGAACTTTTGATAGGCAGTGCTTCTTTTTCGATCATTTTAGGCTTATTCTTGCCCGTTTTGGGTCTAGCGAGTTAGGTTACTTTGCATGGGTGGCTGACATTAAGTTTATTCTTAGGGCTTGCGATTGGATCTGTAATAACTGTCTGGATTATGTCTTGCATGTTTGCCCTATTTTAATGAAAGCCGTTTTGACGTTTGAAAAAAAAATTGTAGGGAGCAGAAAAGAAATTACGGAGTACTTTGTTACGACTTGCAATGTGTTCCATTATGAGAAAATTACTTAGTGTACACGTTTTTTGTGTTTACCTTTGACACATTTGATCTATTATTTCTTTGTACAAACAACTCTGTTTACGTAGACAAATAGGTGTGCCAAAGGTGCAAGCAACAACGTATACAAGCACGGCTCTCACTATGATATGATACCATCATACTTTGGGGTTTAATGAGTCGGCACATTAGTCATCTGTGATTTAGAAAATGCATCAATCTCCCTTGTGATCATGCACAAGATCTCTTCTATTAGCTAATTTAATTGTCAAATAAAAGAAAAATGATTAACATTTTTGAATAATTTTGAGACTTTGACAAATTAACTTGCATATTCATTCATAATATTAAGAAAAATGATTTTAAAAATGTTGAAATTATTCACAAAAGAGATTTCGCACATGAATAAATATAATGCAGAAGGATTTGACACATTTTTTAAACCGCAAGGGACGTTCAAATTTTTATATCACAAAGGGGGCATTAAACCCTCATAAATGGATGTCTTATTGATGTCACAAGAGGGTTTAATCTACAAGTTTTGTTTGTACACAAAATTAGTATACAAATTGTACACAAACTTTCTTAGTTGTCGGTGTATGCAGACAATTCATTTGAAAAGCGTAGAAATTTTTGTCAAAATATATGTGTACAGTACACCTATAGTGTATAATTTGTGTAGACATTTTATGTGCGAAAAAAATGGTTCAATCCACAATCTGGTATAAATCAATGTAAAAATTCTTAGTATACATGAGTTCTATACAAAGCGTACACAAAATCTCTCTAATGGCCTATATAGCGACATTTCGTTTAAAAAGATGCTAGATTTGATACCAAAACCCCTAATAATTTACTGTGTACGCATGTATATACACATTTTGTAGAGACCAAAAACTCTCCCATGCATCGAAAAAAACCCGAGGGTGGAGTCATTTTTTTTTTAAAAATGCTTAATGTACATGAGTTGTACACAAGTTATACACAAATTCATTTAAAAAGAAACAATGTAGGCATATGTATATGCGTACATTGTGTAGAATAAGTCTAAGACATCAATTTTGTCATTTTGTGGTAGACGGGAATATTAGAAGATGATGACTGAGAGCATCTCCAATGGGGTAGTGGATTAGAGTAAAGTCTATCCTACGTGGCATATGAGAGAGATAGAGATAGAATGATTATTTTAATTTAATATGGAGAAAGTGGTGTGTATGAAAAATGAAAAGGAAGAGAGAGATAGGAGTAAATTGTAGACAATGTGTATGACAATGTCTACAAATAGACTTTACACGGGAATCGAGGAGTAAAAGTGGATGAAAAGTGGGTTAAAAGTGATATAGAAAAATGAAAAAGAAAATAAATGTGGAGATATGTAGGTCCTACACATAAAATTTGTGAGATAAAAAATGGGACCCGTGTGTAAGAATGTGGAAGAGAGTAGACATCCCCATTGGAGATGCTCTGAGTAGTGGCTGACAACCTGAGAGTTCCAATAATTCAACCGCTACTTCCACCCTCAACTCACTCTCCAAACTGATACCTGACCTGAACAGCCGATCATTGCGAAGAAAGAAATGGCGAGTGAGAAAGACGATAACAGCGCCGCCGTAGCAGGCGATGACAACACACATCCGACATCTGACGCCTCCATCAACGATTCTTGCGGTTTCGACTCTCTGCATCGCCTCCTTCAAGCTTCCCTCAGTCCCCAGCTCTTTCAGGCGAATTTCCCTTATTGGCGATGTTTTTAATCTTATCCATCAATTTTTGTGCTTTCTCTCAATCTTCCGTTATTTCAATTGCAGCAAGTCAACCGCTTGCTTTTGGGGATGAATTGTGGAAGAACGGTCCAGGCCATTGAACTTCCTGAGCCTTCCAAAGCCCTGTCAACAAAGCATGACTTTGATCTTCAGGTGATCTCAGATCTCAGTACTTGCTCATACTATATTGTCTTTCTAAGTGAACTAGAGTATATATTTTTAGTTTTCCATCATCTCTGTGTAGGAAGGATGGTCCCTGAACTTGATGCTTGAAGTTCATCATTTGAATTTTGAAGGATTAAACATTATATAGAATTTTCCTTTCAAAATACATTTACTAACAATTCGGAACATATTATTAATAATACATAGAAATCAAACTTATACCATAAGTTTAATCTTCAAAAGAAAGACTGGAGGTTTTATATCCTGAATACAACCAGAAAAAGTTGTTCAAATGAGAAAAATGTGAAGAAATGGTTGGGATATTCATATTCTCGAGAAATACAAAAAAGTAAAATAAAGTTGATGTTTTGTTACATTTCCTTCAAACCAAAAGGACAAAAGTAGCTTAGGTTTTTGAACGTTGAACCTACAGGAAAAGAAGCAGAATAGAAGAATAATTGTAGTAGCTCAGTAGCTCTTTAAGAAATTAAGAATTGTTCACACCTCTACAGGAGTGCGGAGTAGTAGTTCTTAGGTAAAGTGAAATAAGTGAACATTATAAATAAATTCATGTTAGGGCTTTTAGTGGGCTTAGATTCTTAGTGACTGATTAATGAAAATAATCGAACAAATATGATGTTTATTTGAAAATAATAAGCCTAAGATAAAACTCATACCAAAAACTTGTGAGGAGCAAGCTTCACAATATGCATTGAGGCTTGCACCTCAGTTATTCACCATTTCACCTTGGGCTTAAGCATCAGCATTTTTTACCGTTTCATACTGAGTTCGTGTAAAAATCGCCTTTTAAAGTCATAAATTTACCCTTTTCAATGCTTTAGACTTCTTAGTTTTTGTCTTTATTTCACAGCACAAGTATTATCATATTTTCTAAATCAAACAGCTCAAGATAATCACATATTCACATATCACATTTCCTACAATCTTTTATAGACAATAATCCTATCATCTTTGGTCTCACAATCCCTGAATCAAATGCTCCCTAAACATGACTTGATGAGTTGTGTGATGCAGTGGAGTAGAACAATACTTGTGCACTTACATTTTTT